TTTTCGAACTTTATTTTGATGAAATGACATATAATTTCAAATAATACAAATATCGGAATTTATTAAATTTCAAAATAATACAAATTTCAAATAATACAAATATCAGAATTTATTAAATTTCAAAATATACAAATTTCAAATAATACAAATATCGTAATTTATTAAATTTCAAAATAATACAAATTTCAAATAATACAAATATCGAAATTTATTAAATGTTAAAACAATACAATACAAATATCGGAATTATTAAATGTCAAATTTACATATAATATAATTATCGGAATGTCGAAATATTATAATGCGCAAACATCGGAATTTGAAACAAATATCGGAATTTGCACCGCAAATCGGCTATGCTGAATGTCATCTGATATGCAGCCGATTATCGATCATATCCGAAATCGGAATTTTGCACCGCAAATCAGCTATGCCGAATGTCAGCCGATTATCGATCATATCCGAAATTTATCCGAAATTTGGCCGAAATTTGGCCGATTTGCCTTACTTCCGATTTGCCTTATTTCGACTAGTGAGTGACTATAGATAGATTGTGACTATATAGGATAGATTTTAATAATAAAGTGTTTTGAACATTCAACTGGTGTGACTATATAGTAGAATGTGACTATAACGGGAGTGACTATAAAGGGAGTTGACTGTATATATTAAAAATTCCATATATATGAGAAATGGGTTTTTTATTAGTGAAATGGGTTTTTTACAGCTCTTTTACATTTAATAATTTAAGTTTTGCAAATGTAAATTTTTGTTTAACTTATTATTTAGTTAAGTAATCATCAATCAGATGATTTTTTGGTATTACAAAACTATTTTGAGTAACAAAAATTGTGAAAATCAATCAATAACTCTTTTTAATGCAGAGTAAACAAATCAGCCCATATGCTTACGTACGCTATATAAGCTAGTTAGCTCTCTCTTAGATTCTAATTTGGTGTTTAAATCAAATGCTTTTATATACCTTAATTTACCATAAGGTAAATCTTCAGGATTTATATGTGATTCTTCCAAATGAATTTCTTTTATTCAAAATATAGGCTTAAAGAACAGATCTTTTGCAAATAAGTCTAAACAAAATAAAAAAAAGATTAAAATATATCTATTTTTTCACCTCCGATTTTATTTATTTCTTCTTACCTAGATGATGATTAAACAATAAAAGAAGAGCACAAGATACTGTAAACATCCAACAGTTCCATTGTTCCAACCAGTATTATCTATTGCATTGCCAGAATAATAATCCAACAAGAAATTAACCATAACCACATCTCTTTGTCTTCTCTTTTCACTACATTTTATTGCAATTTTCAAATCACTTGTTTTTGGTTTTTTTGGCCATCTATTAAGTCTTGAAGTATGAAGATATTTCATTGAAAGATCAGAGTCTTTATTATTAAGAATTTTTGTATCAAATGTATATGACAACCTTTAATAATACTAGCCATAACATCATATCTTACATTAATTCCAAATAGCGGGCATCTTTTGATGAATCGTCTAACCAATTTTTCAGGTCTATAAACCAAATCTTGCCTGCAATTTTGTTTTTTTAATTAAAGACACTTTTAAATATCTTAAAATATTTTATTATACAAACCAATATTTTTGTAATAAATTCTATAGTATTTTCTAAGTAAAAATCAAAAAAAAAGTTCAATTTGAATTAATGATTTTTTAAAAGTAAATGATCAACAAATTATAACAAATAGTAGCTAAATTTTTCAAATTGAAATATCTTTTTATCCATTAACTCTAGAAATATAAAATTACCACCATTTGATGCGTCTTAATGAGAAGAATCTGATAGAAATAAAATTGTCCTACAAATATTATGTGATAGGATAACTTATAAAATCTAAAAATTTATAAATTAATATAACTTTTTATCTATCAATTTTAGAGTTATGATTTTATTACCATTAAATGCGCCTTAGTAAGGGGAATCTAACAAATATAATTTCATCTTTCTATGATCACTAGATCTTAAGATATTTTAAAAATTCAAAATTTTTAAAATTAATTTTAACCCCTACAGTTTAAGGGATAACTAATAAAGTGAAATATTTTATATTATCAGTTATAGTTTTGTGTAATCTATGTACTGGTTTACTCTGTAAAATAAAAATAAAAATTAAATAAGTATTTTATATATAAAAAAATACGTTGATTTTAAAAAAATGATTATTTGACGCATTTCTAGATCTACAGCATTTGGTTGAGAAATATAATTTTTTGTATTTATTTATTAATGGAACTAATTTAACAATAATAAAATTAATAAAATTAAAAGTATCATGTAAGTTTAATCGAAAATTCCACCATCTTTACCTCCTAATTTAACTAAACTCTTGATTTTTCTTTTCTCTTTAGTTTTAGTGTAATTTCTTTTATTTTGAGAATTTTTTTTATTATTGGATTTTTTTAATGATTTAGCTACACGTTCTTTTATTTCCAATTCTGTTAAACGTGTTGTAGAAGCACTGGCAGTAATAGATATTATTGAAGAACTAGATTTTTTTAGTGTATCTCTATGTGCTTTATAATTCCTATTATTGCTAATTGAAAGTTCTGGCTCTAAATTAATATCACTAAGATTTTCTTCCGAAGTGTAATTAGAAGTTATATCATCATCAGGATTTGAGTCTAAATCCTATAAATCAAGAAAATAAATTGTAATTAATAATTGAAATATAAAGAATATTAATCTCACATAATACCTCTGAATCACTGCTGCTTTCCCCTTCGCTTATAGTTTCAGAAAGCTCACTTTCATGTACATTTTCATGGTGTTCCTTTAATTTATGATAAGATAATTTCATATCTTCATCTGTCACCTCCGTAACATTGTCATCTTGGTTCTCACTTAATTGTGCTTGATACTATAATAAAAATTTTTGGTTAAGAAAAAAATGATCTCGTATTGGATCAAAAATTCTGTTTCTTATTTACCGCTTCTAATTCTTGTTGATGTTGTTTAGTAAATCCACTAGCAGAAACTTGAACATCTAAATCAAATTCATAGTTTACATCTAATTGAAATTTTGGATATAACATACTCTCGTAATTATATCTCTTGCGAAAATAAGTACGGATACATTCAACATCTCGATTAAAATACCTACAATAGTCGATAATTTTAATACTTATTTATTTTATAATTTAGCGAAACTTAATAACAAAACTTTACCATTCGGCGTTAGTATGTGATATAGAAACCATTTGAGGAAAATCAATTAATATAGGATCTCCATTATCTTTCACAAGAATGTTAAACTCATTAAAATCTCCATGTATGAGACCATGTTTTGCTAGTCTTACTATTAAATTCATTAAATCAGAATAAAGTTTGCCTGGGTCTTTTACTTCTGTTATTTGACGACTAATAATAATAAAAAGTTATTAACGGGAAAGTTTTGTTTTTTAGGAAAAGAACATAAGATGGTAATTTACAGTGGATATGCATCTATTAATTCCATCACAACACAATGTCTAACTTGGTCAATTGGTTGCGGTACAGGAAATCCATTATTATATAAAACCTATTATATATTTTTATAGAAAGACAAATTAAAATAAAGTACACAAAAGTAGTTTCACGAAAGAAACTTACTTTCATAAATGCATATTCTTTCATTGCAGCTAATCGTGACATATAAATCCACGATGCTGATTTACGTTTTTGAAGATAATCACGTTTTGCTTTTATAGCACGAAAAGAAACGCGTCCAAGTCTAATATATTTAAACATAAACATAATTATTAAGGAAATAATGACTAAACTTGTAATTGAATTATTATTACCTATGTATTTTCAATGCAAGTTGATTTTCGCTTTCATCAGCAACAATATATATATCTAAATGAGAGATAATAAGAGACCAGTAAAGAAACATTCAAAATCATGTAATATGAATATTAAGAATTTAACTGTACCAGATTCTTTTCCAACACCAATTTGATTGCCTACAGAATTTACACTTCCACGTTTTACAAAAGTTTTTAAAGCGAGATAATCATATCCACCATAAGTCAATCTATATCCTTCATCTTTTAAAAAAAAAATGTTACATAATATTAAATTAAATTTCTAATAGGAAAAAAAATATTTTTTTAAGTATTGATCATAATTTATACATTTTGCATTTTTGATTTTGGATACCAAATTCTTCTTTGCCAATTCTCCAATAATTTTATGACTACCACCATGACGAAGACCGGCAATTTGAGCAATTAAAGATAATGGGACTATTTCATGATTTTTTGAACCCATTTCAACCTAAATTCAATGATCCAGATTTAAAATAGATGTTAAATTCTGGAAATGATCCTACAGAAAATATCATTACCGCTGTCAGAACACGGAATTCATCCGGAGTCATATATCGAAGTGTTTTGGCATCCAGTTTCATTATCGGAATCGGAATCTATATTAATTTAAGATTATAATCTCAGAAAACAGATTCTTATGCAAATCGCAAATCACATGATTTATTATTTTTAACCAATTAGTTTATTTCATATGTGCATTCTTGAAATCAAAAAAAAAAATTGCAATTTCAATTTACGGTTCGTTTATAATTAGTGTAAATTAATTTGTTTCAGGACATTATTTGCTTTTCTTGGTTCCTTTCCTAGAAAATTGTTTTTGAGGATAAACAATATTTCCAGAGCGAGCATATGGACAAATTTCATTAGATAATTCACGCGGCAAATATTGTTCTACTAAAGATTCAAAAGTAGACTTTTCGGTGATTAATCCTTGTCTAATTTAATATTAATAAAATTTTAGTTGTATACATTAATTTATTAATTTTTTTTCTTTTAGAAAGATAATTATTTTTTAACATAACTACCTCTTCATTAATAAAAGTACATCTTTTTCTTGAATAACTTCTCTTTTCGCATGTGACGCATACGTATTTAAATCATTTGAAATTTGTTCAAGATATTCTTGTGTACTAAATAATATATATTATTATTAATAATTGGATACGGACAATAGAACTTCATATTATATTTACCCGTCAAACGCCATTTGCATAGCTTCTTTTGACACTTTGATAGATGAAAATTTGCTAAACAAACTCTTAATTAACGAATTTGGAAGACGTGTAATTCCTGTAAATTTATTTGTTCTAAATATGTTTGATCAAAGAAAAAATCTACGTATTAACAACTTAATAATAAAAAGGAAAGATGCTTTATCAAAAAACAATACAAACCTCATTCTTTCGTTTCTCTTATTATTATTATTTAATCTTTGTTCCAAATTAACATGATCATTATCGAATTCAAAAATTTCTTCAACTTTTTCAGACTCATTCTGTATTACTATCATATCATTTTCGGGTGACTTATCATCTAACGTTACTTCAACTGTTGATTCGTTTTCAAGATCATTTGTATCATTATTAATTATAGGAACATGAATATCATATCCTGAATTGTCTTCTGGTTGGATACTGTGTTCATTCTCAGTTTCATTAACAAGAGGATCTAAAGATACTATATTCTCAATGTCATACTTTTTTGGGTTAAAAAGTAGTTGAACTCTCTCATTACTCTGATTCTCTAAAGAATCGTGTGATAAATAATTTTCCAAACCATTTTCAGCTTGATTATCCAACGAACTCCTAAGTAACTCGTTGAGCAATCTGTTTCTTCGTTCAGAATTTTCGTTTATTTCGAAATTATTTTCAAAAGTGAAATTATTTAAATCATTTAAATTCCTTCCCAACCAAAAGTTATCAAGTTCATTTCCCTCCTGAAGTCTCGACGAGCCGGCTATAGGGGAGTTAAACGCATCAACAGCTTCATTATTATCAATATTGCTAACAAATTCTTGATCTCTGAATTTGATTAATATATTGATCCAAAAATGTAACAAAAATTGTTTTAATGAATTAGGAATAGAAGTATAGACTATGAAATATAAATATTTACTTTGGCGGTTGAATTTCAACTTGATTATTAAATTCAATTCCTATATCCTTTCGATCAGTGATTACTTCTCCAGTAAATTCCATCGTTTCGGTTATTTGATCCAAACAATTTGAAATTTCATCTTCACTATAATCTATCTTGTCATGAAGTTGCGTTTCTATATCCATTAGTTCATCATCTTTGGTAGATTGTTGTATTTGGATATTATTTTGTACATGTTGCTCCATATTCTCCAACAATTCTTTCTTTGATTCAATTTCATCAGAATCAAAATTTGAAACTTCTATTCTAATAGGAACATCTTGTATAAACCCAGGTGCTATATAGATAAAGTTAAATTATTTAAAAAGATAATACTTCACTAAACTTTATTTAATTTTATGATTCAAAATTAACCTCGAGTTAGTTGTCTTAATAAATCTTGCGGGGATTGCTTTTTCATCGATACTGAATCTTTACATTTATTATTCGGTTTATTGGTTGAACGTCTTGTGGAATTTGGTGTAGGACGTACTGAACCAGGAGTTCTCTGTATACCCACTCTAACAGAATTTCGTCTCGGAGTTTGACGTTCTGGCGAGGGTTTAGGTAGAACCTTAGATAATTGACGAAGCTGTTATAATAATAAAATATGTTGTTTAACTTAAACCGCGTAAAAAAGTACGTACAAAATAAATCATAATTCTGACATATACAACCTTACCATTCGGGATGGAGTTTCCTTAAGTGTAGCGTTTAAGGTCGCGTTTCTTGCTCTAGTAATACGACCCTCATAAGTAGGTGAGCCTATTTTAGAATCATTACTGTCCAATTTCTCATTGTTAAGCGCGCGAGCGATATTTGTTTGTGTAGCTACTACCACTCTTCGCTTTTTAGCAGCACTTCCGGGGCCTTTACGTGTCGCTTGTACGGAACGTTTAATAGCAGTACCCAGCGAAGCTTTGGTTTTGCGTTTAGACGATGGGGTCTTGGAAGTATCCATATCAAAAACACACTTTCTCTTTTACAACAAATATTATTAGATTAGCACGCATTACGAAGTTTTCACCTTATGTGATGAATATATCACGTGGCTAAAAGCCTAAAATCTTTAAACGTGTAACATTAATTAAAAACAAACTTAATAACTTAAAATCGCGTACACAATAGCTCTAGTTGGATCAAAATTTCTGTTCGAAAAAATAAAATCAAAAATACGTATTATTGATTAAGCAAAATTTAAAGGTTCAATAAGATCTTATTTCTATACATTCTAAACAATTTCTAAACCAAAGATATGAGCAGAAATTATGAATTTTACTACTAGCATTATAAGGATGAGCACGATGCGTACACTAATCAAACGAACGATCGAATAAGTTGAATTACCATTGAAAAATGTTCTTCTTGACATTGCAAATAATTACCCAATTTTACGTTCATTTTAAATATATTTTATTATACACATTACATTTATCGGTCAGCCAGTAAAACGTGCCAATAATATTATGCCGAACTTGAAATCACTTATTAGACAGATATGGAACAAAGATTTATTTGGATTATTTAATATCAAATCTTACTACTCGCGTATCGTGTTCATTGTCACACACAAGCATTTGGTTAAACTTTGATGTTAGAGACAATCCGATCATCAATCTGCCCATATGTGTGTAACACGTTCATCAAAATAAGATGGGAATGTGTGGCAGGTTGGTTATATGATACATACAATTAAAATACTGATATTTTCTTGCATAAATAATTTATATTACATTTATTGATAAAAATTCTACCGGTCCGGTGTATACATAATACCGAAAATACCGATGGGATAAATACATATTACAAATCAATTAAATTTTTTCAGTATTGGTTATGAATCTAAAATTCATATAAAAAACAAATCTTAATTCGGGTCAGCTTTATAACTTTGGCTTTGGACCGGTCCGAACCGAACCGTTTACTTTTTTAAACAAAATTTTATGTTCTAGACTATTGAGCAGAAATTATACGGAGATTTTATTATTTCCTAATTTATTTATAGTTTTTTTCCCAATTATAGTAATTATAGTTTGTCCAAATAGAGTTTAATATTAATAAGCAACACATGCAATATTACAGAATTTTTTTTTTTATTGTAATAATAATCGCAATATTTGCATCATCATTTGATAAATAAATAAGTTCTTTAATACAAACCAAAGAGCTGCGTTTGATCATAATGCATAACAAACAAACGATCATGGAATAAAAAAAAATTATATATATAAATCAAGTTTTTTATGAATCGGATATAATTAATTCTTTTGTTAGGATTCCGGATCAAAAACCGGCTATCAAATTCCACTAATAATCAGCTTTCGGGACAACTCCATAATTTTTTCCGCGAGAAGAATGTAAGCTACTCCGCATAGAAGTCTTTAATTTTAATTAATAATGTCCATCACACTAATACCATTTCATCCTTGTTTAACTAACTGCAACATTTAATATAAATACCTTATAAAAAGTTTCAAGTATGTTTCAGTTTATACAAAATATAATAATTTACATTATTTTTTACTTTTATTACAAAAGAAATAAATTCGGTTCATCTGAAGATTCTTCTTTTCAACTTTCTAATTCCTCTTCACTCATAATTCGTCATATTTTTTGACTGTGGCGGCTGGCGAGTGGCCTGACGGGCGAGGATTTAATACGTACAAGCCACAAAGGGGGCAGGGTACTGTATATCAGTGAATATAAATTATAAAGTAGTATAATACGTACGGTGTACGTCATACAAAATATACTGGTATCATAACATATAAAAAAGTCCTTTTTTACTGTACTTTTCTAATAAATTTGTATAACAACCAAAAATAATTATTTATATCTGAGTGGAATACTCCCCAAACAACTTTTTTTGCTTTCCGTTCTTTATCTTTATTTTTTTTTTTTTTTTAAAAAAAAATACAATCAGTAAAACTTTCTTCCAACAGTACGTAAAGAGAAAAAAAGAAAATCATGAAACACAAAAATATTTAAAATAAATATTGATAATTGAACAATTCAATTGAAAATAAAATGTCAAAATAACCAAATAATTTCGTTTCTCGCCCCTCAAATGCAAGCAGTTCATTTTTTTTTTTTTTTTTTTTTTTAAAAAAAAAATACAAGTTTATATATCAAATTCCTTTCCTTGTAGAAGGGCTATTTTATAGCCTTTCTACTCATTTCACTAGCAAACAAACCATAGTAAATTCATTCTTTTACGAAAAAATTTATTTTTTTTAATTTTTTTTGTATATATTTTACATAAACGTAAACATTATATAATATATACACTATATATAATACACATAACATTTTTTACCCCATTATTTTTACTATTAATGTTAAAATTCGAAATATTAACCTCACTAATACTGGTATTATATCTTTCACCTCTGGTATGTGGAGCTCCCGTAAGAAATAATTCATACTGGGTATTTTGGTATTATAGTAATAACGGAGATAGAAACTGCGGAAATTATTGTTATTTAGTATTTTCATTAGTAGGAGCAATATTATTATGTATTTGCGGATGTGGATGTTTGAGATGTTATTTTATTAAAAAACATTATAAAGCTGAAAGATTAGAAAGCAATATAAATACTCAACAAATACTTGATCAATGGGAACATGATTTACAAATGTCTGAGCAGCAACAACTTCAAAATCAACAACAATTACAATATCCTCCACTTACACACACTCACGATAATCGTTATATTCCATTAAATATTCCAGACGATAATATACCACCTCCTTCTTATAATAATAATAATACCTATAATCCCGAGTTACATAAGCATGCTTTAAGGCAAGAATCAAATTGGTCCGCGTATAAAGCTGGAAAACAATTCACAAGAGATAATCCACCAAAGGAAATATTACCACCACAAGAACATTTAAATTATATTAGAGAATTAGGTGGAGTTGAATCATGGAAATTTATACCTGAATCAAGTATATTACAATTAAATATTGCCAGTGTTACAGATGATCATATAATATCTTTTCATGCCAAATTAGATGCTATGATGCAAACGAATTATCCTTTACTTGATATGGAATATTCTAAATTACCATCTAATAATATACCTTCAAATGATAATAATAGTCAAAAGAGTAATAATTTGTCCGTGGATATTAACTCTTATAATGATAATCAAAAAGGAAATAAAAACTTATCCTTGAATACAACTCCTTATAGTGATAATCAAAAAAGTAATAATAATTTATCCGTGGTTACAACCGGTTTGAATATGAATCATAATAATGAATCAAGTAATAATATTAGTCCTATGACTGTAGATTCAAAATTACCTTTAATTTCTCCTAACTCAGCACTCTCTCTTAACTCATCGTCTCCAACAACTTCCAATATAAATATAAATACAATAATAGATGTTGCTTCTGCCTCTTCTCAACCTCTACCTCCTTCATATACTCAACAATCATTCGCTTTACAACCACCGACTGACAGTTGGTTTTTTTATTATGAAGTAACCATATTGTCAAATCCAAATTATGATAAAACGACAATTGCTATTGGTCTTGCCACAAAACCATATCCAGCTTTCAGGTATATATTTAACAGATTTTTCAAATATTTTATTCAATTTCTAACCTTGTTTTTTTTTTTTGCACTTTTAGATTAACCGGATGTAATTTAAATTCAGTCGGGTATCATTCAGATGAGGGCAAGAAGTTTCATAATGACGGTTTAACTGGTACCAAATATGCAGAAAAATGGGGTGAAATAGGTGATGTTATAGGGTGCGGTTATTACCCGAATACTGGCCAAGTTTTCTTTACTAAAAATGGTAAAAATTTAGGGATTGCTTATACCGGTTTATTACATGTTTGGTTTCCTACAATTGGTTCTGATGGTGTTTGTAGTTTAAAAGTAAATTTTGGACAAGATGAATTTAAATACAGACGAGCCAACGGTATGAGCGTTGCTGGTATAATACCTCAAAATATTGTTAATCAAGGCATTGAAGAAGAAAGTATTGAAGAGGGAGAAATTCAATGAGATAAATACGAAAATTGTTATGACCCTTGAATAATTACGTTCGTATTTACCAATACGACTCCCGAAACCGCGTCGTGTTGAGGGGAACTGTAATATGTCCTGTTGAACGAATTTTTCCATTAAAAAAAAAAACCCTAAAGAACCTGGCAAAAATAATACACATTTTTTATTTTGTATGCTCCCAGCTATCATAATTTGTATTTTATTTAATTAAAACAACGAAAAAAGGTAATATTTTTAGCACCATTACATTCATTACTATCATTAATTTTAAATAATAATATTTTAATTTCAGGCAACATTCACTCACTTTATTTTAAACTCATTTTTATTAATTATGTAAATACTATGTATTTTTAGTCTATTATTTTTATTTAAATATTTAAATATATAAATTATAATATTGATTATTTATTATTTTTATTATTTTTTTTTTTTTTTTTTTTTTTTTTTTAAAAAAAAAAAAAGACTAAATTGTATTATAATAATGCAACGACGATGTAATCAGTCTAAAATTGTACGTAATACAATTATACGTGAAACAGCAAATATGCATGTCAATAAACACTATAAAACGGAGACGCGGAATTCTCTGTTTCTATTCACCATAAAAAGCAGATCTGAAACTAATAATTAATAAATTTTTTGTTGTAATTAACAATTATGTCTTTGTGTAATGGTCCTTTGAATTTTAACGCAGTTCAATACCTGGTATACAATTTAAGTTTATCTTTATTGTTTTCCTTATCTTTTAAATCCAAAATATAAACAATTAAATATGAAACAAAATTGTTAAAATAAGAACGTAAAATAGTGAATCATTTTAATCTTTCATTTTTCTATTCATAAACTAATTTAAAATTTTGTTTAACTCACATGATTTAAAGATAGAAAATTAAACACATAAACAAATAATTATTAACTATATTTATATTTCATTGTAAATATTATAAAATCGGGATTATCTTATTCAATTCCGGGAATTGATAAAAAAACATACATCTATTCATTTTATTGTGTGACGTATAATATGAGTTACTATTAAAGTTACTAATTGCGTAATACCTGTATTACTTAATTTAAATTATTTTGATTCCAAATATGGAATTTGGTACCGGCAATTATTATTCTAATTGTAAATATTTAGTTCTATTACATATTGAGAATGATTATCATGTGGGCTGAAATCAATTTGTAATACAAAAAAACGTTGATTGTATTTTTAACAATTTGGATTTTAGTTAAACGCAAAATTCTGAAAAGACACTTAAAAAAGACAATTTATGGTCTTTTTTTTTTGGACCTGCATAGTCTGATACCCTTTTTTTTTAATTACATTTATAGAATGTGGCTAGTTCGATCAACCATAATTATTCTATATACCGTGTTCTTCACAAATTATGCGCGTGCTTTGCTTCTTTTAATTGTAATTTTCCAGATAAACGCGTCAATATGAGCCCCTAAATATGAGTGCTGATCCGCGAGAAATCGGCACAATCATTATATATAAATTTGGTATACTGAAATCTGTAGGGCCATATAGATAAGTAATAAATATTAAAATATATTATAAAATAAATTCATACTATGAATACATATGCCAATTAGGTATATTTTGTATATTTTGGCAAAGTGTTAAGAATTTTTTTAGAAGATAAAAGTCACTTTCCTAAAAGCTCAAAAAATCAATTCTTCAAAATTTATGATTTTTTATAATATTTTTGATTTGGACCTCTAAAAATATTATAAAATTTCTCAGCTCTAGAGATATAANGCGTCAATATGAGCCCCTAAATATGAGTGCTGATCCGCGAGAAATCGGCACAATCATTATATATAAATTTGGTATACTGAAATCTGTAGGGCCATATAGATAAGTAATAAATATTAAAATATATTATAAAATAAATTCATACTATGAATACATATGCCAATTAGGTATATTTTGTATATTTTGGCAAAGTGTTAAGAATTTTTTTAGAAGATAAAAGTCACTTTCCTAAAAGCTCAAAAAATCAATTCTTCAAAATTTATGATTTTTTATAATATTTTTGATTTGGACCTCTAAAAATATTATAAAATTTCTCAGCTCTAGAGATATAAAATTATTATCATTCAATGAGATGAACCTAATAAGCTATATTTCTTACTTCTACAATCATTAGATGCTAAGTTATAGAAGTGGTATCTCCCCAAAATTTATTATTAAAATAATAATACCAATTTCTCACAGATTGGCTCTTAATTACTTTATTTTAGCAGAAAATTTGTAGAAATAGATTCACTTAATCTGCAAAATCTTTCTAAAATATGATGTAATATATCAATATCCTTATGAAAAGTTTTTATACTTAAAATATACTTAAAATTTTATTAAAATATACTTAAAATAAGTATCAATTTTAATTTGCAGTATACTTATAATATACTTAAAATATGCCTAATAAAATACTCTTTTAATATACTTGATTTTTGCCCAAATACTTAAATTATACTTAAACTAGAATTTAAGTACAATATAAATGTATTTTTTACATGTTTAAAATATTCTTAAAATGTGCTTAAAATTCAATTTAAGTATATTTTAAATATATAAAAAATACACTTATATTGTACTTAAATTCTAGTTTAAGTATATTTTAAGTATAATTTAAGTACTTGTGCAAAAATCAAGTACATTAACATCACGAAGTTAAACCAAGCATTTACCAACCATTTATTAAATGCTTAAAGAATATTTAATTTAAGTGCTTATTAAACAAGTTTCAATGCAGCTTATATTCGATAAGCATTGTTTTTTTATCACTAATATATTAATAAATTTATGTATTAATTTGCATTAAAAAATCAATATAACTAAAATACTTAATTTAAATGTATAAAAAATAATAATATATTGCATTAATTAATATTGATATTTATTAATATTATATCGTAAAATATATACAATTTTTTATTATATTTTATAAATACATATTTATTATATTATATAAATTCGTTATGTAATATGCAGATCATAGCAATTAATAATAAAATTTATAAACTTTCACGTTCTGAAACCTGCATCCTCTCAAGAAAAAAATTCATTCGCTCAATTACTTCAATTGGAACTATATTGACTCCTTTTGATGGATCAAGATAGTTTAAGACGACTGCCATCCCAAAGGCAATAGAGTTCTTTTCTGTTTTTGGATTTGTAAATACACGATTAATAATTAAGTTAAGGAAAGTATAATGTGGATTATCATTGACATCAACTGGCTTATTTAATTTTATATAACATTCTCGTGTAATATCAGAATTTTTAAATTTCTTTTCTTCATCACTTGTAACTTGACGATTTTGAGTCTTAGGCTTTGTGAGATCAGAAAATTTGTCATGAATTGCATCTTTAATTCGTTGAACAATATTACTTCTAGCTTGTCGTGATAAACATTGTGCCTGTAAGAGTAGAATAAATTAATAATTATATACATATAAATTAAATAAAACATTAATATTTACTTATTACTAATGGACGAATTTATTTGTTATAAAAACGCCTCCAACTACCACGTTTGATTTTATTTTAAAATTCTTCATTATCTGCATTTGATAATGCATTATAACATGCTTCCATAAGACATTCTTCACTTGGATATTTGACTTTCTCAGAAATAGTAGAAATTGCTTGGTTAATCGTATCCTGTGATGTAATATTTAGAAGCAAATAACCCAATATTTACAAAAATAATATTGCTTACTTCAATCCATTTAGTGTTATTTTCTGATTGGCCTCCAAAGCCAGTAGCTTTCCAATCTGTATACATTTCGGTAGCTTTTTTATGTACATCTTGAACTATTGTGACCAATTGATTTTGCACGTTTTGCATATCACTGAGCGTACCTATTTATTTATTAGAAATCAATATAGTGTAATTAGTATGAATAAATAATAACCAACAAGTAAATCTAACTTACGAGTTCTCTTTTGCTTATCTTTGTCTCTTTTAGTATCTCTATTTTTTTGTTTATTGATAGAATGGGTCGTATTATGATCATCATCATCATCGTTAAAATATTCATTATCAATTGGAGAATATTCTTCTTGATTGGGTTGAGTATTGTCATTATCAAGTAAATGGCTCTCTAAAGCTTCTTCTGTAATAATAGTAGTTGTTGCATTCGAATCTTCTGAGAGGTCAATTATAGGTAAAATATTTTTATGTACTATAACAGATGATTCACGTTTTCTATGTGGCATATTGAAATATAATGTGACTTGTGTAACTTTAAATTAAAAATTAAAATTTTTTTTTCGTACTGTATTATTGCTTATAAATCTAATATTTTTAAACACGAAAATTTGTTTAGTATTCATAAATAAAAAATATGCTGTAGAGTTCACGCACCCTCAAGTTCTTTCTGAAATCTTTAATTTATTTAATAAACCTATCGAAAAACTAGCTAATATATGTACCATAAAGGAGACTTAGAAGCCACTTGATAAAGAAATTTAGAGAAAAAAAATGGACATGTATTTGGAGATAGGAGTAAATATGTATGTATTCAAAGATAATTATTAAAAAAAAGAAATACTAAAGGCGTGTTTAATTATTAAATAAAGGTATTAAAATATTATTGAATATTTTGTAGAAAGTAGAAATAAATGAAAGGAAGAGTTTGTTGAAAGATGGAACGTGAGAATATAGAAAATTAACTATTTTATACTATTTAAGATATGAGTATATTGAAATTCTACATTAACGTGACATAAGTAATCAACCATTCTGTATACCCAATCTACACGTCTACACATCAGCGAAATTACCCACATTTCTACCTAATAGGAGTAATATCCTGCATTGATTGTACACAACACCCAGATACTAATGTTCCATCATATTCACTATAACAAAATTTGCGATATTCGTAAATTCAAGCTACGCTACTGGTTTAACCTTTGACCTGCAATACCACATAGATAATTCAATATTATTAACACACCTGCAGCAACTTCGAACGTGTAGGAGGATACTGGCTTTAACACAAAACTGGACTTTAAAGTAAAAATAGGGAATGGAGGAAGTATAAAGGGAATTTTTAATATTTTAAAGTTAAGAAACGAACTAACATTTCTTTTCATTGTTTTTTTTTATAGGACACGTAGGAGGATGGATTGCTCATGAAACTGTAAAGTAAAAACGGAAAAAGGGCAAAGAGGAAGGGGAATTTTGTTATTTAAAGTTTTAGAAACAAAAAAGAGGAACCAAGGTTCTTAAGAATCTTGGTTTTATTTATTTTTTATTATTATGGAATGGTTTACTAACTGTTCCTTTTTTTTTATAGGTTCGGGTGGATTTTTAATGAATAGAGGAAGCAAGATTCGTAAGTACGAATCTGGGATTTATTTATTTTTTTTTATTATCATGAACGGTTACTAATAACCGTTCTTTTTTTTTTAGATTTCAGGTGAGCTTTCACACATTAGGTGGACTTCTACATTCTGGTTCTTGGGAATCACCTTTTTTTATCTCGGTGAGTCCAGCAGTACTTGTTAAGCCCTCCTGTTCGTTATTTCCCATCACTCTATAGCAATTTGGTTATTCAATTATCAGAGTTACTTTTGATTTTAGTATATAGTTTCTTTGTAATTTTTACTGTAACTTTTGTTCACTTTGACAAATAAAAATATCTATACAAAAATTAGATTACTTTATTAAAAAATGTTTAATGTTCTTTTGTTATCTAAATCGGGTAAGCGGGATCTTTCTAGTTGAGTTGATTAAAAAAAATGTTTAAGAAAAAATTCTCAAACTATTCAATAATAAATACCTTGATCGAAAAATTTTTTTTTAATAAAATAATTAATTGAAAAATTTTTCTTTAATAAATAATTAACTAATCCTAGCAATCACTACGCTACCACTATTTGTGATGCCAACTTGCACCTATTGTAATAAAGTTTTTAAAGACCGGCAGGTCTTGGGTAATCATATAAGAACTCACTTGGATGATAGTGATAAAGATATACCATTAACAAATCAATCATTTCATGATACATCAATCCAAATTCATAATCCAAACATATTTACAGAAGAAACAAATGTGACAATACATGTTGAACGGAATATACATGTTGAACGAAGATCAAATGATAATCAGCAAGAGGAAATTACCTTTGACGCTGATGGTGATGCGCAAAACATTAACATTTCTTCTTCTGCCGAATCTCAAAGTGATGATGAAGAAGTAGCAAATTTCTCTGATAATGAATCTATGACAGAATCGTCAGATGCATAGATGAAGATTCTGTAACATCTGATTTATTACATATAACTAATATTGATGCCAATGAATATACTGAATACAATGCTTTATTCAGTGAAATATCTGATGATCCTGAAAATATTCAACAAGAATTCCCATCCAAAGAATATGCAGAGTTTATGCATATGATAACACAATTTCGTATGCAAGATTCACTTGCTAATGCCTTTATAAAATTCTTTAATAAATATTCAAATCGTAATGATAAGCCATTGCCTTCAACATCACAAGCTGGACGAATATTTGTTGAAAATTTACAGGTTCCAAGTCTTGATTGGCGAAAAGAAATAATTTTTGAATACAAAGGAATAGAATATAACTTTGAATATAGAAGTAATAGAACTGTTCTTGATGGTATACGTCAGATTTTGATGAACAGAGACATTACAAAGGATTTTATATTTGAATCTGTCAAAGATGTAAATATAATTTTTTTGCAACCAATTTTTTAACATTTCTAATTGATTAACATTTTGTTTTTGATTTTAATCAGACTTCTAATCAACGTTAATATACAGACATGTATGATTCTGATTGGTGGAGAAATGTAGAAAAAAACCTTCCAATTGGAGTACACGTTATATACATGCCACCCAAATTATTTTGGACTGCCGTAATTATAAGTAAAATCCCAAATTCAATTATGGCATCCCAAATTATTTTGGCACTTTACATAGTAAATTATATATAAACCGAATAAATTATGGCATTCCAAATTATAATTATGGCATCCCAAAATAATTTGGGCAGCATGTATAATACGTTATGCCAATCATTCTGTATGCAGATGCTACACTTTGTGACCACTTAGGTAAAACATCACGGCATCCAGTATTTATGACGCTTGGAAATATTCCTTTAGCACGCAGAAATAATACAGATGCCAAAATTTTACTTAGCTATATTCCCAGTATTGAATATTGTAGTACATCTGAAAAAAAATCAGCCCAGTATCATTCAGCAACACATGAACTTTTTCACTGTGCACTTGCAACTATATTGCGACCATTAAGAGTACTAAGCTATACTGGAATTTATCTATATGTTAACAAAATTTTTAAATGGTTCTACCCGTTTTTGGCACTAATAATTTCAGATTGGCCTGAAGCATATGCAATGGGTACTATTTATGGATCATCAAATGCATTACACCCATGCCATTTCTGTTTAGTAGATCGTGATTCAATGAATAATATTCATATTAAAAAAGAAGATATTATTATTCATGATAAAAATAATACTAAATTGCTTTACGTCAAGGAAATAGTAAGCAAATTTCAACATATAATATGAGAAATGCTTTATAGAAACGGCCGTAAGTAATTTCAAAATAATTATAATTGATTTTAATTATTTAATTAATTAATTATTAAAATAACTGAGCTACATTTTCATTTTATTAGATATTTTAACGTTTATACTATGTGTGTACCTAATCGCATGCATCATGCAGATCTTGGTCTTTTTCAATATCAATTACAATTTATGGTCGAATTGTTGAATTTAAAATATAGAAGTAGTTCAATAAAACTTCTTGAAGAACGACTTTCTCAAATTCCTCGCTATCCAAATCTTAAAATTTTTAAGAATGGATTTGAAAGACTTAATAGATTAACTGCATTAGAATATCGTGATTTGATGAAAATTATATTATTTGCTTTAGATAATTTAACATCGGATGAAAATCTTAACAAGAATTTGTGTGACCTTTTTTTATTGTAGTCTGTAGATAGATATGTATATATGGAGTCGCCAACAAGGATATACTGACTTAGATCTTAATGAATTTGAGGTAAATTTATAAATATTTGCAATTTTAAATAGAAATTTCAGTAGTTTTAATAACTAATTTTTTACTTTTAATAGAAATCAATTATTATATGGAGTGATTTATTTATAAAACTTATGTCAAGATTTTCGCGATCTAATCTAAATCTACCTAAGTTACACAGCTGGCGTTTTCATTTAATACCATCAATTTACCAGTTTGAAGCTGTTAGTGGATTCACTAGTGAAACATACGAACTGCTGCATAAAACTAATGTTAAGCAACCATATCGTATAACAAATAAACATCACATAAATAAACAAATGCAATCAATTGTAAGAAATTTTATTTTATTTATTTTATTTATTAAATATTTTAAATTAAATTTAATTAATATTAAATATTTTTATTAAGGTGCGTCGTCAAAACATTATGACTCTTATATCAAAACTTTAATCGCGAATTTATAGTAATCATATTTATCATGGAATTATATCAAAAAAATTTATAAAAAAGTTAACTCAGCATACAATTGATCAATTTATAGATCAAATAAGAAATAATCAGAATTTAAATAATTTATTATGGTTACGTGGTTTTGAAAAACTTAAATCTTGTATTTATGATTATTTTCAAGATATTGAAGAATGGTCTATACAAGATATTGAAAATGAAACAATAAAAATAAATGTGAGTGAATTCGCATATTTGGATAATAGTCAAGATCATATTATTATCACAGGTCGAAAAGTGAAAAATCAGGCATCAATCAGTCACCGATTGGTGCCTGATTTTTCACTTTTCGACCTGTGTATTCGTGCAACTCCTAATTATTATGGACAAGCTTGCTTTTCCGATGTTTGTGTTGAAATGAATGAATCTGAGTAAGATGATTATTTAACAGATAATGGTTTATGTTATGCAAAGGTTAGTATATATGATAATAATTTCAGTTATTGTCTATCAAACAATTATTAAAAGTTTTGTTTATTATTTTAGGTTCTTTTAATTATTCAAGTTCTTTCAACAAAATTAGAAAAAAATCTTGAACTTGTTCTTGTATATTGGTATGAGCATATTATAATCATGATGATAATGATACACAACATCGTGATAATCATGATAATCATGATAATCTTTATTTTTACAAATGCGCAATTCTTAAACATGTTGACCATTATACTCTAATTCCTATTGCTTCAATAGCAAATATAGTGCATATTATTCTGAAGTTTGATATGTCAAATGTTTTTTATGTAAACAAATATATTGAATATTATTAAATAATAAAATAATACTTAATATTCATTTACTATTAAAATTAATTACTTTATTAGTATTGAATTTTTTAGCAATTGTTAACTATTTGATTAAAGTATTTTCCAACTATTATTTTAATAAAATACTTATAAAGTATTTAAAATTTAGCATTTACCTTTTATTATATTATAGCAATTAATAAATATTTATTTTAAATACAAATAAGTATTCATAAAATATTAAGCATTTAGTAAATACAAAATTTAAGCATTTATTTAATAATTTGTGTTTGATGAATACAAATCTAACATTTGATCAACTTCGTGATGAAAAGTATATTTTAAGAGTATTTTAAGAGTATTTTAGGTATATTTTAGGTATATTATCCCTTAAACTGTAAGCAATTGCGGGCAAATTTGCCCGCAATTTTACCAAATTTCAGCTCTCATCTAATTTTATGAAAAATAAAGCAATTTTAATAAAATTTTTTTCCAATATAGTTTAAATTATATATTGTGCAGCAATTATTATCATTTATTAATTATATATTAGAAAATCGAAAATTACCCATTGGTCAAAAGTTGTATTTTAAGATAATCACAAAATTTTAAAAAACTTTGCATTTAACTTCGACGATTTCATTGATAATTAATTGTAGCTATATAAAAGCTTAATAGAATATGTAAAATTTGGTATGAGAAACGACTTTTGTTAATATGATTTTTGATATTTAAAAGTAGGATTTTGACTTTATATAGAACCTTAATGAAAATTTTATTATGCATTTTAATTATAAATTCATAACAATTGATTTTTTTTATCTCTATTTTGTTTATTATAATGCAAAATTTTTATAATAAAAATAAAAAGTTATAATAAATATTCAAATAGATAAAAAATATGGTAAGAAAAGTTTAAATTTTATTATATAAAAATTCTGATACTATTTTTGCGGGTTAATTTCCAATCCAATTTTAATGATCAACTGTATATCTAACTCATACAATTTATGGCCAGAATGTAGATCAATTTGGCTGCAAAATTATTTGATGATCTGGCCAAAATTAAAGAATTTTTTATAGCGTCATTTATTCTAATTTAGAAATTGCGGGCAAATTTGCCCGCAAAACAGTTTAAGGGATAAGTATATTGCAAATTAAAATTGATACTTATTTTAAGTATATTTTAATAAAATTTTAAATATATTTTAAGTATAAAGACTTTTTATAGGTTAAAAAAATAGTTGCCAAATTTTGCAGTTTATTTATTAGCAATTTTACAGTAGAAAATAAAAATGACTAATATTTAAATTTTATAAATTTAATAGTTTTAAATTTTAATTTCAAATGATTTTTATAAGTTTTAATTTTTAATTCACTTCTAGTGATTTCAATTTTAATCACTACTGGTAATTTTTATTATTTTTAAATTCTAATTCACCTAATCAGTATCTTTATAAATACCTCCTATATAAGAACTCAGTACATATTTTTTAATTCTTGTTTTTTATATATAAAATATTTAGTTATAAGTAATATATATAAATTCTCCTTACATAAATATATAAATCATATGATTTAATAAAATAACTAATAAATTATATATAATGCAATTGCATTTTAAACTTAGTAGTAAAGAAAACTTTTATTTTTTCAAAAATTTTCATAACATTTTTAACAATTAAATAAATTTTTTTTTTTCTTGCAAGGTAGTACAATTCATGAATTTATTAATTATATAGAATTACAGATTTTTCTGCTATAAGCATAACTAGTGCTCCTAACAGATCAGATCAGACCAGATTTTACTTAGATTCAATCTGATCTGAAATTAATTAAATCTGATCTGATCTGATCTGATCTGAATCAGATCGGTTTAAATTTAATTTAAATCAGATCAGATTTAATCAGATTCAAATCTGATCTGGTCTGAATCTAATCTGAATCTGATCTGATCTGATCTGAATCTGATTTGAATCTGAATAAATATGTTATAAATTCTAAAAACTATAATTTGTAATTCCAGTCAAATTCAAAATTCTGAAATTTCAGCCAAAATGCTAAAATTAAATATGTAATTCGGCCAGAATTATGTACTTAACTCTGGCAGGAATTATTGAATTTCCTAAAAAGGAAATATAGGTTACACGAAATTTCAAATTTGTTCCTATAAAAATCGATTTTTTTTGTGAAATGGCTATCGCCAAAAAAGGAAATGATCTACATATCCGTTTTTAAAATTATGAATTAATTCCAGCCGGCATTATGAAATCGGCTGAAATTATTAGTAAAATCAAATCTGAGAACTGAATCAAATCTGTCAGATCAGATTTAGATTTTAAATATGTCTAATCTGAATCTGATCTGATCTGATTTGATTTGAAGCTAATCTGATTTGTTCAGATCAAATTTTTTTTAATCTGAATTTGAACTGCAGATTAAATTTATCTGATCTGATCAGATCAGATTTTTTTCGGAGCACTAAGCATAACTAATCCATTAAAATTTTGAACCGGTTTTCTATCCTATAGATTGCTCCCATGCCCTATCATTACCAATATGAAATTCACCTATATCCTCCTATAGTAGCTATCAGATTATATAGGATCATTATTATCTTATAGCTTTAGTATATGCTTTCACTACCTTCTAAACAAAAAGAAGAATTGTATGTATATTTATACATCTTAATATTATTATATACATTGCATAGCGGAAGTGGGGATTCTCATCTATTTGTATCCTATACAGTTATATTGTTTATATAAAGTCTTGACCAATCATACTATAAATAAAAAAAAAAAAAAATTATTATATACCTTCCAAATTACCATAATTAGATAATTTTAAATATCATATTTTATATTATAACCTTTTTTTACAAATTTTTTACATATATAATTATATTTATATATATATATATATATATATATATTTTTTAATGATTTATATAGTATGCTTTATTGATATTAGAAATATATTTATTTATATTTGAAAATTTAAATTAATATTTTTTGTATAAATTATTTTCTCATAGTATTTGTCATACTTATATATATAATAAAAAATTTTACATAAATAATAAGAATATACTAGTTAATTCAAGTTATATTCATTTTATTAACAATTATTTTATTAACAATTATCCTACTAACAAATATTTTACCAATAATTATTTTACAGACAAATATTTCACCAACAATCATTTTATTAATAAAAAAATTTAAGATTAAAGTTGAAGTTAAATAAGAAAATTAGGATTATAATTAAGCTAGAATTATTAGGATTAAATAAAAAGTTAGAGTTAAAATTAGAGATAAAATAAGATTAAAGTAAATTGATTAGAATTTTAAAACTATTAATAAAATAATTATCAGTAAATAATCCTATTTATTTATAATAAAAATTTCTATAAAAAATATTAAATTTCTGTCTATTATTACAGTTCTTCAAATGACAACTGATAATAAAATGAAGTCTACTTCCTAAGTACTTTATATCTTTATACTTCATAGAAAGCGTTTTGTAGTTTTCAAAAATAAAGAAAATAACAGAAACTTTATATTAGTGTAGAGTTTAAAGTTTAACCTTTTTATATTATCACCGATACGGCAATACCTGCCATATATCAGCAGATAAGATTAACATTTAGTTTAATATTATGCTTGGTTTAGATTTGACATTTCTTTATTTCTCTTATAATAACTTTCAAACTGCGATAATTCTCCTTATATTAAATAAACTTTACATTAAATAATTAAACTGGAATAATTTCCCTTAGTTACTTTACTTCTCTGGACTTAATAATATAAACATTAATTAAATTTCAGGTATACTATGAGCATATTCAAAATAACTTTTAATAATTAATATTTTCATTATTTTATTTATTGAATCAAAACTGATTGAGCCAAAGCTTACTCGATAAAAGTTAAAATCCAGTCTTTTTATACATTTTAATATTTCACTAAACTATGGTAATACTAAATTATTGTGATACTATAAATTGTTCTACAATATTTTACAATATTCTACAATATTCTAATCATGTGTTAAGTCACGTGCTAATCACGTGTTAATAAACTAAACTAAACTAAACTATCTAAAATATAACAATATTAATTTCTATACTAAATAAATAAATATCTCTAATTAACATCAATTTTTGTGTAATTTATCCCATATCTTTAGTTACAACGTTTACTGCGTCATTTAACATTTTGCTAAATTTCTCAGTATCTAGTGATTATAAAAAGACAATTAATAGCTTGTTGGAAATCACTTTATCAAGACGAATCAAATGGTGGTAAGCTCATCTCTCTGTGATTAATATTGACAGAGTTACTACTTAAATCCATTTACCGTATTTTGTGGGTCACAGTATCCCTCTATGCACAGTACCCTACACAAAAATTTTTTTGGATTTTTTAAATACCCAGATATTTCATACGGAGACATTCAATTTTTAACCTCCAAAATTTATAAAATATCCAAAGTACAACACTAGAAAAAAAAATATATACACTGTATAATATCCGAGTATTTATTATCAACTTTATTTATTATATATGATATTACAATATGCAATACATTGTTAAAATCCTTTATATTATTTCCTAAATTCTTTCAATATAGAATATTATTCTTTATCAGAAGTTAGTTCTTGATTTTGATTTCCATCTTCTCCACTACTATCATTACCACCATTGTTTTCTTTACTTTTACCTTTATCTGTTTCAATTTCCCATTCATTTTCATAATCATTTTCTTCAGTATATTCATTTTTTTCATCATCTGAATTATTTATATCTACCTCATTATCATCCTCCAGCATGCTCAGTAACTTATCATAATCAAATAAGTCATTATCTTCTGAACCATCAGTATTTGTTAAAACTCCACAACATTTGAAAGACCTCCTAATAAGATCTTTGTCAACATCATCCCATAATTCCTTGACCCATGTTGCAACTGTTGAATAGGAAGGTCTTTTAATCCTTCTGGCTGGAGTAAGAGCATGAATGGTAAAAGACATCCAATCATTATATCGTTCTTTAACCTGCAAATTATAAATAAATGTTAATAAAAATCAAAGAATTTATAAATAAAATATGCTAAATTGCTAACAATAAAAAATTTTAAAGAATTATATACAATTTTTACCTTAACTTTAAAGCTTTTGTTAATTGCAACGTCTAATGGTTGCAATTTAGATGTGCAATCACCTGGAATTACGGCAATATTCGTATTTTTTTCTACCAACTGATTTTTAACAGAACTTACAATATGACCACGAAAAGAATCCAAAACCAGTAAGGAACGCGAATTACCAAAAGGGTTTCTTGAGGTCCATACAGTTTCAATCCACCATAGCATTTCCTTTTCATTCATCTATCCTTTTTCATTAGCTCGTATATGAATACCATGTGGAAAATTTTCTTTTGGCACATTTTTTAATTTAAAAATGCAAACTACTGGGAGCTTACTGCCATCAGCCATACATGCAAATACAACTGTAAAAGATGAGCGCTCATGGCCCATAGTACGAATGCTGACTGTTTTTGCGCCCTTATGGTCTATAGTGGAATTACTTGGCAAATCAAATCATAGTGGTGTCTCATCCATATTATCTATATATTTTAATGGATAGTTATGCTAAATCCTTCTATATAAAATATAACTTAAAAAAACGTTTTGTTTTTCAATCAAATCTGATGGTAATTATTATGCTACAGTTGTTCTACAACATTTATCACATGTTAAAATTAATGTTATCAGGTTATCAGGTACCAGATATGCATAAGATATATGTAATATACGTGCATGATATTTAGTAATTATATATACACATATCGGGTACCCAATATGTGTATTATTTATGCTGAAATTTGGTCATACATCTTACAAGTATCGTGCATATATTACACATATATCAGGTAGTGAAATGTCAGTCACATATCATCTATTTATTATGTACCTGATATATTATGATACATATTATATAGATATCGTATAGATATCATATAGATATCGTATAAATATTGGATTTTGTATTAATACTAGTAAATTTATAATATAATTCAGGCAAAAATTATAAAATGGAATCATAATTTATGATTAAATATTAATTATAATTCAGGCTAAAATAAAATTTAATTATACTAAATTTTATTAAAATTTATATTATTTATTTATTCAATTAAAATGTAGAAATATTACAAAAAAGAAATCATATTCTATGTAAAATCAATTAAAGTTGAATACTATAAATGAAATAAATATATATACTTTATAGTCGAAGTAGCATGATAATGAAGTCACCTGTTTGCTTATTTTCATTATATCTGTTTAATTTATAAAGAAACTTTAGTGAAAAATGTTAATGTGTTAGTAAGAGAAAAGGAGCATTAATAAAAAAGTTAGTAGTAGAAAAATATCAGTAGAAACATTAGTAAGAAAAAAAAAATAGAAAATGCTATTAGTAGGATAACGTTAATGAAAATATAAAATATATTAGTAGGAGATAACATTAATAGAAAATGTTTAGTAGAAACGTTAGTAGGAATTTCAATAGAAGAAAAAAAATGATAGAAAAGAAGAAAAAATGTTAGTAGAAAGTAAATGTTAATAAAGATAAATATTAGTAAGTAGGAGAATAACGTTAGTGAAAAGAAAGAAATGGTAAAAATATGTTAGTAAGGAGTGTTAATAGAAGAAAAGAAAGAAAAAATGTTAGTAGAAGGCGAACGTTAATAAAAATGTATGTTAGTAAGAGGATAACGTTAGTTGGAGGAAAGAAATGGTAAAAATATGTTAGTAAGGAGTGTTAATAGAAGAAAAGAAAGAAAAAATGTTAGTAAAAGGTGAATGTCAATAAAAATATATGTTAGTAAGAGAATAACGTTCAGTAGGAGAAAAGAAATAGTAGAAATATGTTAGTAGAAGTGTTAGTAAAAGAAAAAGAAAGAAACGTGAAAGAAAATGTTAAGAGTGTTAATAAAAAATGTTTACAATATGAAAAGAGAAATGTAATATTAGTAAATATACTTTTATTTATTTCTGATAAAAAGATATATCAGATATGTTAATTATAAATATTTCATAATAAGTAAAAATTATAGTAAATATAAGAATTTGTTTTAAATATAATTTATATAAAAAGGTGAAACTGCGAAAGAAAAGTTTTGGAAAAAAAAAACAAATAATAATATAATCATCATGTGATCATATGATCACTTGATAACAATAGGCTACTTCATAATTGATTGATCAGCATAATTTTTTGTTTAAACGTTTATTTAATTTTTATTATTATGGCAAAAATAGGTGACGTGGCAAAAGAATGTAAAATAGAAAAAAAATGAAAATATTAACGTACTCAATTAATAATCGAAGATATTACAGTATTATTCAAAGTCTAAGTTTTATTATATTTATTTATCATTTGTATATTTGAGTGTAAATCAGAATATCTATGATCACATATTTTATTGGTTAGTATAATCTAATCAGACGTGTACCAGCAAAACTAGGCCAGTTCATAATTGTTCGATCAGCTTTTTTGGTCATGTTACACTAATCTCATGATCAAAGTTCAATTTTGAGTTGGTTTGATTGATAAACATAAGGCAACCAATAGTTATGGTTTTGTTTATTTTTGTCAGTATTTTTGTCTACTCGACCAAAATGACCTACATTTTTGATAGTTCACGTTGAATGGTCAGTTGATCATTCTACAGTTAAATTTATTGGTCTGAATTTTTAGTGCAACTGACCAAATATCCGTTCAATCAAGCCTACTGTTGGTCCATTAATTGATCAGTTAACTCCTAATAATTATTGTTTTTGATTGGCCAGATTGGCCAATGTCAATGTGTCTAAACGCTTCAATAGAAATGTTATTAATATTGCTGAAATATTTTATTTATAATTCACAATTACGTTAATTTTAATATTTAATTTTAATATTTAATATTTAAAAGATTATCTTCAGCTTTTAAACCCTTTTTTGCTCTTATAATATCTATAAAATAATAAAAATTAGATTAAATTAGGAATAATTAATTAATAATATTTATAGTTATTACTTACTATCATTATTTCTTTTTTTATTAGCTTTAATAAACATACTAGTTTGCCTTTTTGTTACAGTATTAAGTGTCTTTCTATTAGAATTGATATCATTATTAAAATCTTTCATTTCATTATCATTATCTTGAATTTCATCATTATCATCTTTCATTTTATCATTATTCTCCTTAATTTTCTTATTAAAGTTACGCAATTCTTTAAAGAAATCTTGATGTACATAATATACAATACTATGTCTAATTCCTTTAGTAACTTTTAAATTTCCATTCTTTAAAAATCTTGAAGAAAATACTAAAACTTGTCCTGGTCTAATTTTAACAACAAGTTTTATTTTCTGGAAAGCATATTTCACCACCTTCAAAATCACCTAAAACAACTAAAAAAGCTAAAGAATTCTTATGATCATTTTTATCTAAATGATATTTGCTAATAATATTATAATTTATAGAAATCATTGGAAAAATTCCAAATGATCTTGGTGCAAATGGACCCCAATTTAATTGACTTAACTTTTTATAAAAATCATTATAATAATTTTGAGCAAATCGGTTAATGCTATCTGATAATGGTTTAAGAGTCAGGATTAATTTGTCAACACATTCTTGATGGTTAGTATTATGTGTACTAGCCATATTAGAACTAGTGTAAGGAAGAGTATTATTCCTTGCAAATGCTCCAAAATTCTCAGCAAATCTTTCCCAAAATTCATTACTTCGGTGAGATGCATTATCTAATGTGTGAAAATAATAATCATTTATGGCAACTGCTGCTTGAGTAATAGCATCTTGATCATCAAGTTTTTCCAAATGAACTAAATTTTGATGATTCTGATTTACAATGCATTTAGCTTTTACCATATATTCAAATTCTTTTATTTCATCTAACGAATTAGGATTTGAATTATTTTGCAGAAAATTGTTAATTGAATTGTTGTTGTTAAGAAGACTTTTAAGATAACGTATAACATTTTTTCTCTTTATTGGACTTTTCATACTTAACCATTGGCCAAAAGCAATCCACTTACCATTACCAGGTAAATAATTATTTGCTTTTTTATTAAGGATATCATCTATTAATATAATATAATTCAAAGGAATTTCAGATATATTATTATTTTTATTTTTAATTCTTGCTTTTCTAATTAAAGTTCCAATAAACAGATCTTTTTTAAAGATTCCTTGCTGAATTTTTGTCGCTTTATATGGTATTCTATCTGATTGGCTAAGTTGAATATTTGTCCATTGATTTTTTATATAAAGTAATTCTTCAGAAGCGTTTAATTTTTTAGTAGTACTTTGCGTTCTGTGCTAAATATATAAAAAATAAAAAATTGTTTAAATGTTTAAATGTTTATAAAACTAAAGAGTTAATGCATCCATATCTGATATGATAACATACTTTATTTTTATTAAAAATTAAATTTTTTTCAATCTTTTGTTTTTTATTAGCATTTTCACGAACATGTCTAGATTTTTTTTTTGTTTCAGTTACTGATTCTTTATACATTTTAATTAGTTTTATTATTTGAAAAATAATAATAAATTTGAAGTAAATTGTTTTAATTTAGCAGAAAAAATAACTGAAAAGTATATTTATATGCAAATGTCCCGTTTAATGCATACATTTGCAGGTCAGGTAACCATAGTAAAATTCATTTTATGTGATATTATACATAAATTATTTGATATTATATTTTATAAAATGTAAAATTTATCCTTTATTAAAAGTTAGAGATTTTTATAACACAACATAATTTTTTTAAGAGAATCTTAAGGTAAATTTTGCCTATCACTATCTAAAAGATAACATGCAGAATACTTTGTTCAAAAGATTCTTTGAAAGCTTGTTGATTTTGAGGAATACCTAGTAATATACGCCATATACGTGTTCTATTATTATTTTATTTTTTTTAAAAAAATTAATTTATATTATTTATATTAAATAAAAAAGAGAATAAAATACTGAGAGAGATATTTACTTATACTTATCAGGGTATCTTCCTAATTATGTAATTTTTCAATTAATCTCTCTCTTCTTTCTTGAAGCGGAGGATAATCCTAAAAAATAAAATTAGTATTTATCCAATACTTCAAATATGTCAAGATGGGAAACATTAACAAACCTGCAAATTTATAGATTCTATAGAGGATATCGAAGACCTCCTTGAAATAGTGGATATCGTTTCTAAAAAATAAAAAATAAAAATAAAAAAAATATTATTATTAATTGACATATACTGATAAGCCTCTTAATTATATCCACTTTACCTTGAGGAACTGTTGGAATAGTCACTGGAGATACATTAGTTGGTTTGATTGGCTCTTTTCTCGCCTTTGGATCCTTTTTTACAATAGGTTCCTGATCTAGAAACAATTTGAAGATTTCTTCCTTTTCAGAAGTGGCTTTGAAAGAAGATTAAAATTAGATGACGACGGTATTCGAAATTCAGTGTATTTAATGGATGTATACTTTTCGAAATAGAAAAATCATAATATTAAGCTTAAATAAAAAAAGATATGTTTGTATAAAGTAATCATATAAAGCAATAATATAGGTAATATTAATCGATATATGTACATACAGTATCAGATCTTAAACCTTCCAAGTCCCAAATCTTTAAGATTTTTTTTTTTGATTGAATTTATCACGATAAATTTCCCATCAGGAGAAATTTCAAAAAATTTAATCTGTTATAAAATATAATTCGTAAACATTTACAGATAGTTAATTACAATCACAACTCAATAAATATAAGATTCTTACAGAATGTTGCATATTAAGATGATAAATTTGAAAATTACTCTGAAAAATGTCAATAATCAGAAGTCACCCATCTGAAGAAGAAACTAAAAGATCCTATATAAAATATTATAAAATAAGAATATGTGACAAAATTTTGTGAACCAATACAAAGTTACATTATAATTACTGCATCATCATGAATCAGTTCGAGTTTCGTAATTTTACCTTTAATTATAGATTTAGGACTTATATTTCGAATTAAATTTTTTGTATTAAAATCCCAAACAAGTATAGTTTTTCTATTTGAATGAAACATTATTAACTAAACATTCGCCAAAAGCCATTTACTGATTCCAGCCTCTAACGATAAAACCACTTGCCAGCAGCTAAGATTATTCTACCATCTTTCGACATTGTTGTTATTCTACATGCATGATCAAACGTATTACTAAAACTTAGTAACTGATTTGATATTTGTGTCAGGGTAAGTAACTTCTAAACAAATCAAAAGATCTGCTATCCGAAATACATATTGACTCATCAAAGAAACTTGAAATAATATATTCTCCTTACGGAGAGAATGGAACCTAAGCGATATGAGAATCATTGAATCATTATGAATTAAGCTCATTTTTATAATTTATTTTTTCTAGAATATACATACACGTCTTAAGTGGCACCCAATGTTAGTTCGAAAAAGGTTAAAACCTACAAAAATTTTAAAAAAGAAACGTTAGTACGTTTTTTGAATCAATTTCAAAACTTTCTTCTCAAAAAATAAATTTACCATCCGGAAGTCCTTCCGGAAAAGCTAAACCCTATAAAATTTAAAAAAAAAGAAACGTTAGTACGTTTCTTGAAGTAACTTTAAATTCTACTCCTAAAAAACAACTTACCGTCTGAGAGTTCTCTCTGGAGAAGCCCGAACCTGTAAAGGAAGAAGATTAGTTCATTTCTTAAAGTTTATTTCAAAACTCTACCCCAAGGAACTAACTTACCGTTAGACGACCTATTTGAAAGTTCCTGGAGAAGCTAAAACCTATATAAGTGCGATTAAAGTAAAAAAAAAAATTAATTAAAAGTCTGAAGTTCCAAACTTATCTGACTATAAATGTAAATATAGGTCTTCAAAAAACAAGAAACGAAAGAATAGTCAAATATTTGATTGGCTGATCTACGCATATGGACGGATTTGGCTCACTTGATGATTGACATTCCAATCATCAAGTGAGCCAAATCTGCCCATATGGTCTAATTATAGTAAAGTGCGATCGGCTGATAATCTTTTTTTTCCATTAAGAGTCAAAAAATAAAAAATTAATCAGTACTATTGGTCATATAACTTATATGACTTCTGAATGAACTGATTTACTGAAACAGCTTAAAAAAACTATTATTTAAAAAAAAACACGTTCGAAATTTGAACTCGGAACTAGGAAATGTAAGTAGAGGATGATAGGGATATTAATTTTTTGTTTTAGAACGTTACCAACGCTCCCTTTTCTTTTTTTCTTTAGGAATGTTTCTGACTCGAAATTTGGAGTGGAACCTGAAATGTAAGTGGACTTTTTTTTTTGTAGGAATGGTCCTTTTGGTGCGTTTTCTGAACGGGAAAGATATTCTTAATATAAGAACATTTAATAACATTCTTTCCCTTCTTTTTTGTAGATTCAGACTGGAATGAGAGAGAATTGGGAGAGTTTTTTTTGGTTTAAAGCGTATTAACATTTTTTTGAGACTGGAACTTGAAACTGGACGGTTTCGTGTGTGGGAGTGAGAGGTTAGAAATCAGAAGAAGGGAGGAAGGTACTTCAAAATGTTTTATGAATATTCATTATTTTGTTTATTTAAATTTTGTAAGATTGACGTTCTTTTACTTCTTTTTTTTGTAGATTTTGACCTTGAACTTGGAGTAAGTTTCTAAAGGAGGAAAGTGGATTTTTTGGGGTTTTTTTTTATATAACGTATATTAACGTCTTTACTTCATTTTTTTGCAGATTTTTATCCTGGAATTTTTGAATTTGACTAGTTTTTCGGATATTATTAGTGGGAAATAAGATGGATTTATTATTTTATTATGTTGAAGTTTCTCATAATTGTTTGTTTGTCAAATAAATTACTTAAGTGAATTATTTATCAAATAGATTACGTCTGGATTCAGCATCTGCATCTGTGCCGTAATATTTTGGCATTCTAAGTTTTAATTTGCAGAGAAGTATAGTTTCTTTATTAATTTGTATTTCATGTAACAATCAGACAAATTTGCTAGAAAAATGTAGCAAAATTTGCCGATAAAAATTGATTTTTTCGATATAAATGTAACGTCACTTTACATAAGCTTAATTGATACTATACATGCTGCCCAAATTATTTTGGGATGCCATAATTATAATTTGGAATGTCGTAATTCATTCAATTTATATATAATTTACTATGTAAAGTGCCAAAATAATTTGGGATGTCATAATTGAATTTGGGATTTTACTTATAATTACGGCAGCCCAAAATAATTTGGGTGGCATGTATAATCGATACAAAACTATCATTTTGTGCATCAATATCAGATCAATACCTAAATTGCATATCTATCGGGAGCACATTATGTGCAACACATAATGTGGATAGACATCTCTACTGTACTAATATTACGGTATCACCTAATCAGTTACAGCTAACATCTTTAATTTATTCTTGTATAACTTACTGCAATGTAAAAAAAGTCTCTCTCTCTCTATTTATTTTGTTTTTGATATCACTAACTTTTAACTTTCTTTTAGTTTTCTTGATTTTGGACTTTCTTCAATTCCACTCACTTTAAAATTTATAAAGTTAAGTTAACTTACTGTTATTTTGATGATTGCGAAAATTTTATTTTACTCATAAGCTTTCATTACTATTATTTTTTTAGCTTCAACCTTTTCCATCTCTAATTTTAACAAACAAAAGTTAAGTAATTTATATATTTTTAATTAATTTCATTTATTTACAAATTCAGAAACTAATAATAATTTAAATAATTTTTTTTTTCAGTAACTATTTTTTCTAGCTTCAACCTTTTCCATCTCTAATTTTAACAAACAAAAGCTAAGTAATTTATATATTTTTAATTAATTTCATTTATTTACAAAATTCAGAAACTAATAATAATTTAAATAATTTTTTTTTTTCAGAGTGACTAGCTAGTAGTAATTTTAATAATTACCTTTTTGTTTAGTTACAACTTTTCAAACTCTAATGTATATATATTATTGTTTATACGGGGAAATGTTATCTTCGGCAAAATGAAGAAGTCTAAACAAAACTTGGAGTCTTCCTTCTTCTAAATCGCTTAGTAAATAATGATATATTATTATAAAATAAATTTATGTTGATAAGGCATATTTCTAAGTCATTGTAACAAGTATGGATTAGAGTGGCATAATAGTGATAACACTAAGCTTGTACTTTGACAAAGTTACTATGTCTAGTCTATAAAAAATTCTTACTTTTCAGTACGTTGAAAGGTTATATGGGATACGTACATTCTTCTGTCCTTCTAAACAGGGATCAGGATATATGACTTGATAACTTGTCTATATCGAAATATATGTTTGGACGGGCCATGCTTTCCTGTAATCTTAAAGATTATAATAAGAAGCAAGATTAAACCTTTTTTCAAATCCCCCTTAAATAGAGATGCGATCCGGATGAAATTTTACAATCCGTGATCTGCACAGATCAATCTGGATTATCATAGGATTAAATCCAGATAATCTGGATTAACTTCAAATTTTTGGGTATCTCGGCATCCAACGATCGTATAGAGATGCACTATAGCTCATTCGAATCGTTGCATTGAGACGATTCGAATGAGCTATAGTGCATCTATATACGATCACTGGATGCCGAGATAATTGGCAAAACGTGAAACATTGGCATTTTTATTTTATGATCATGCAAAATTTTACATTTTGCCAAATATCTTGGCATCTAGTGATCGTACAGAGATGCACAATAGCTCATTCGAATCGTCTCAATGCAACAATTCGAATGAGCTATAGTGCATCCCTGTACGATCGTTGGATGCCGAGATATTCGGCAAACTGCCAAAAATCAGTAGTATCATAAATAAAAAATGCCGGTTTTTGACGTTTTGCCAAATATCTCAGCATCCAACGATCATACAGGGATGCACTATAGCTCATTCGATTCGTTGTATTGAGATGATTCAAATGAGCTATAGTGCATCTGCATCTCTGTACGATCATTGAATGCTGTTTTGGATTAAAACGGATATCCTTAATCCATCCAAATGCATCCATTATCTGTTCGGATCGGATGGATTGGTGGATGATCCAAATTTTCAGATTTCAGATTGCATCTCTACCCTTAAATAAAGGGAAAGGATGCTAAAAGAGGTTTTTTATGTTTTTTTACTAAAAAAAACAAACTATATCATTACTGTTTAATACCTAAGAATTCTTAAAATATAATTACTAAGGTAGATAATTTTTTAAAGAGAGAGATAGAGAGAGATTTTTTTATAATATCAATTTAAATATCACAAAATTATTACAATTATATCTATCGATCTGATATCATAACAATATTATGATAAATCATAATAATATTTTTACAAAAAATATCAAAATAATATTACTGTAATATATATTATATTATTAAGATATAAAAATTTCTTATAAAAAACCTATTTCTTCTATAGAAAAATCATTCGGTAAAATATTAAGCTGAGTATTTAGTAAATTTTTTTTTAGTTATATTTATAAAAAAGAAATTATCTAATATTTTATGTATATTTCTTATTTTGGTTTTTTTATTATTTGAAATTTCTCTCAGATATAATCCTATTATTTTACCATTTACTCCAATTTCATCAATTTTTTCATTTATAACAAGAAAGGTTTAATTTAGCACAATACAATAATATACAGATATAATATTTTTTGAAGGATTTGTATAAACTCCCAAAAATTTATTTTAAAGACATATTTAATAAAAAGTAAGGTTCAAATTTGAATCAATGATATATTTATATTAGTATACAATATAATTAGTGAAATGTTTAATTACAAAGTTCTAATTTTATTTTTGGTTCATTCAAGAAGAAAATGATTTTGAGATAATATTATAATGAGATATTGATTTTATTGTTAATCATTTACAGATCGAAAAAAAATAATTATATGCATAGCAAGTTTTCAAATTGACCTGTGATCTATTTCTGCAGTATATAATAGGCCTGTTCAATTCTGATCGTTTGGGTTTTTTGATCGAAAATCTATTAACCAATCCTATCATGTGATCAAAATCAAAATTGAGTACTTTGATCGGCTTATTGAATGGTTAATCTTGGTCACCTTATTTTTCGTATAATAAAATATTTTTTTTAAAAAAAAATGGCAAATAAGCAATACCATAAAGGTATATTAAACTTTTTGAGAATGCTTATTAAAACTTCATTAGATACCAGACGCGTTAAAAAAAGTGATCAAAATAATACCACAATTTTGTTGTTCGGAAAGTTCAGGTTATTGATCAGGTCATACAATTCCATCAGCCAATAGTTATCAATTCAAACCTGGCCTAATATCAAATGATCAAATGTACTATGTTTCACAACATTTTTATCATTTTTGTATAATTGGGAGTGATTTAAAAATTTTTTTTAAAAAAACAAGTTTGAAATATTTTTTCACTACCTTTTTTGCATCATTACGTAATTTAATTTGCAAATTTGCAAGATAATTTTTTTAAAAAACAAGTTTGAAATATTTTTCTCTAACTTTTTTTTGCATCATTACATAATTTAATTTGCATGGTATGCATGGACCACACTCTTTTATTTATAAATTAAATTTTCTATTTAAAGGTATTATTGATAGGTAATTATATTTTCCTATTGTAATGTATTTAAATTTTATGGCTCTACATAATATTCTATGAACTGCTAACAATGAGTCACAACCTTCCTCATAGTATTCAGTTTTCCATAATTCTGTATTTGATATTTTTGGTTTCATAAAGCTATGTTTAAACCGAATACCAGAGGTGGGTGCACATTTATACCATTTCACATATGTAAGAAGATGTGTTTTTGATCTCTCTGAAAATCTAAGCGTATGTTCAAAGTAATATTGAACTTCACCTGGGTATACATCGATTGATTCATCATTAACTGCTTTTCATTTTGCAAATATGGTCGCATTTTTTTCTTGTTGGCTTAATATCACAGATCCAAATATTTCTGCACCAATTTGCAATCTTGCGTGCTGATTAATTACCAGGTCTATAAATCCTAATATTTCTCTTTATTCTTTTTTATATAATATAGAATACCATTCATATAGAAATCTGCATAATTCTAAAGGCATAATAACTTTAAAATATGAAGGTTTGAGCATTTGACCTGGTAATTTCTCAGTACCATATATTTTAGAAAATATAGATGTATTATGTCTCATAGATAGAAAATGTTGCAACTCTTCCCTTTCTTCTGTAAGTGCCAAACTACCTACAGCCTTTTTTGGAATAAGAAGGCAAAGAGATTCATCAAAAAGACCAGATGACCATCTGCTTGTTAAGTAGTAATCCACTAGAGTATTTTTCAGAACGATTTTCATAAGTTCAGGTTCTATTTGTCGATTGCTGTTAGGATATGATCCTAAATAATAGAAAATATATTTTTTAATAAAAAAAAAATTACAAGTTACTAAAGTAAAATAAGGATTTTACCTATATATCCATTAAGTCTTTCAAATGGAAAAAGCCAATAACTATATATAGGACTATAATCACGACAACAATTGGGAATGTGAAGTGCAAGATGTATGTTACTTGTTACAAATTCTGGTCCATATGTGTTTTCTATAAGGTAAGTCATATCTTTTAATCTCTCTTGTGCTTCTTTTAAATCATCTTCGGTAATGAATCTTGCTACTAAAAGATTACATGCCCGAACAAAATATCCTAAAATCTTTCTATCATTATTGTCTAGCATATCCCATAGAATATTTGTTGAATAGATCATGATGAAAGTCTTTCATTGATCAGCAGTTAAAATTAGAAAATCCATCATTTCTGATAGCAATTTTTGGAGGAATTCGGCCAATGTCAAAAGGTAATTCAACATGATCCATTCTTTTTTGTGCCACTCAAAGTTGTTCCATACTTAATTTTTCCTGATTTACAAAAATTGATTTGATTATCCATTTTGCTATACCAAGAAAAAGGCAATGCATTGGATCTATTACTGCAAAACATATAGGATCCATATATGGAAGACGAAGCAATTCAGACCAGCGTACACCATGATCTTTAAAATGATTATCTCTTGACTTCTTTGAGTTGCATTGCAACCATTCATGTGCATATCTTCTATGTGATTCTGCAGTACTTATTTTATAGGTATGTTCTCCTCCATAGTGAGTTTTTTTATATTCTTGACTGTAAATATTACGTTTCTCACACCTATGGCATTTCATTATTGCAGATCTATGTCCAAATATCTTTCGTGTGGCTGGTATATCTGATGATCCAACAATTAATGCAACTTTTATATTTAATCCATTAGGATACTGATAAGTTTTTGGAATCCTCCAACCCCTCCAAAGCTCTAAAAGTTCATCCACAATAGGGGCCAAATAATGATTTATACGATCCAATCCCACCTCTTTTGGATCAGGTAAAAAACCTAAATATATAATATTTTCAGGTTTATTCCTTTCTGACCTTGGTAAATTACAAATAGATGCATATATAGCACCAGTACTATGTTGAGTATAGGTAAATGGTTGAAACCAATCAAGGTTAAAAAGAAGACCTAGATTGGTTGTGACAGTTTCTGGTATAAAAAAGGTACTACCATCAAATGGAAAGGTTTTCTATACTTTACCATCATAAATATCTGAATAGATATTAACCTCTTTTCTCTGAACTCCTGATAATTTCAACATATTTTCAAAATCAGGTCGTTAATATAACATACTCAATTGCTGACGAATACTTGGCTTAGAAAAAAGCATACAAGGCATAGCAATTGTTTCTCTTTTACTTTTTTTAAGAATAGTAAGCAGATTATTGCATTGATTACGACGACTTGGTATTGGATTATTTGGAAATTCTTCATGTAAGCAATCCTTAATTGCCACTTTTTCTTCTTTCTTATATGCAATAATATCTTTAATATTATGCATTTTATGACAATTATTGCATACAGCTAACTGCATTTTTGGTTGAAAAATATTTAAATATTTTTTTGCCATATATAAGGAATTAGGAAAATCTTTGAATTGCAATTTATTTAAGCAAATAAGTACAATATGTAAGAACTTTATTAATGCTTCAAGTGCCATGTTAGTGAGTCAAAATCTTTGTTAAAATTTAAATGCCCATAGAATAATTTCAGTTTCCAACGAATCATTTAAGCTTTCCATCACAAACACTTCATCACTATCAAATTCGGGAGATGTGAAAATATTTTTTATATTATCTTCATCTTCATTTTCTTCTTTCTGATCTATATTATCATCATCATCCTCCTCTTCTTCTTGATAGATATAATTCTGATTGATGTTATAATCATTCTCCTCATTAAAATAATCGACAATATTATCATTTTTATCAAATGTAAGTGCAGGAATACAAAAGTTGAATGAAAATGGTATATTTATACTTTCTTCTTCATTAAAGAATTGGGAAAAGAATCAGGCAATATACCTTCTTCATTATCTGGTTTATTTAAGTGAAAAGAATCAGAATTATCTATTTTCTGCCTTTTTGATTGATTTGAATTTATTCTGGTGGAATTTACATCTGAAATAAGGTTAGTATTTTGACTTTGTTTCCTTGCCATAATGGCATTTTCCTGATCTTTTTTAGCATCTTTTGACCTCCATAGACGTTCATCTTTAGCATGTTTTTTTTGAGTACGAGGGTCAACTTCTTCACCATTACAAAGAATACAATAACATGCATACAAATACTTCTTTTTGGGTTTTATTAAATCAGCAACAGAGGTTTCAACTTTACTTTTTTTATTATGTTTTATTAAATCGGCTACAAAAGTTTTATTACTCATTTTGCTAAAATATATTTACTAAATTATGTGTATTTTATGTAATAAGAAAGTTATGAAAAGGTTTGCCAGATCGTAGAATATGTTAGATAGCTATTTAAATGAAGTTTATGTTTGCGTTTTCAGAATCAGATTCGCGTAAAGGAATGTTTTCAATCAGGTTCGCATTTGGATTAAAATTCGCGTAAGAAATTTTTAGAATCATGTTCACGTTTTTAGAATCAGATTCATGTGAAATTTTTTCAATCAGGTTCGCGTTTAGATCAAAATTCGCGTGAAGGAATTTTCAGAATCAGATTCGTGTGGAATCTTTTCAATCAGGTTCGCGTTTAGATTAAAATTCGCGTGAGAGAATTTTTCAGAATTAGATTCACGTAGTCGATCTGAAATCAATATAAATATGCAACCTTTTTCGATTTCTGGAATCTCCTTTTAATCACTTTTCAATCAAAGTAAATACTCAACTAAAATATATAAGTAATGATGAATAGTGATCAGGAATCTATCAACTCATCTTCATCCTCATCCTCCTCCTCCTCATCATCATCATCTTTGTCCTCATTATCAGTTACTTCGTATAAAACAATTAAAGCAAATATTGTTTATTATTTATTTATTATTTCTGTTTTTTTTTATTTATTTACGTTTATTTATCTGTTATTTTATAGCAAGAAGTGTTTATATGGGTCGACTCAGAATTAAAGGATATCTACAAAATAGATGAGAAACAAACTTGGGTTGAGCAGAAGGAAAATATAGTTACAAAACTATTGCCACCTCTGTATAAGCTTGTAAATAAAAAATACAGCGTTACGAATAGCCAATTACTAAAAATGTTATATGGATGATAGCGTTCTCGACATCATGTAAGTAATATCAAAGGCCAAGGAAAAGAAAGAGTAAAACAAAATAAAAGAAGATCCAAAAAAATACGAGAATGCAAGACGTGAGTAAATATTCAATTAATATGAAATGGAAATTTGGTTAACTATGTTATATTTACAATTATTATTAGAAAAAGAAGAGAAGAGCATAAGCAGCTAATTATTTAATTGAAGGTAAAGATAAATATATCCTCAGGCAGTGATGTGGTGGGACAGTGTCCCACAAAATTTTGATGTCCTGTCCAAGTCCAATTTCATTTGTCCCGTCCTGTATTGTTTAAAATATTGTCCAATTTATTAATATTATATATAAATCATATATCCTTTTATAATGAATTATTGTCATGGACATCAACAACATCTTGTCCAAGTCCTGGACTGTCCCGTCCTGTCCCATCCAAGGACATGTCCCAGTCCCAGTCACAACACTGTCCTCAGGTATTCAGAGGAGGATCTCGTAAAAATTCTTAAAGATTCAGGATACCACTCTGAAGAGTGGGAGGAAACAGATCCTGAAGAAAATTGGCCTGTCATACAACCCGACATAGTTGAAGATAATGCCGTTACAAAAAAGTCATCATCAATATATGTTTATGAAAAATGATGGTGTTCTTCTACAGTATATATACTTATTATTTTATTAGTTTTATTTATCAAAATTATAATAGTAATTTATTTATTTAAGCTTCTGCGATTATTACATGACCGAATCGATCCAACAATCAAATTATTAAAAAAAAAATCACCAACTTTAAAACGTAAGAGAGCTCAGTTAAGGTACAATACATCTAGCATACCGCCCATAGGTGCACCAAGTTGGTGCTTAAATCAAGAAGCACTCAAACAGTTTAACCGTTCAAGTATCAATATTCCGGTATATGATTATGATATTGATGATATTCAAAATAATAGTGATAATGATACTGAAGATGAAAGCATCAATAATGAAGAAATCCCAAATAGAACAAATTCTAATAAAAGAAAAAAGAAAAAAACTAAGAAACAAAAAAGAAGTAAAAAACATAAATCAAAATAATCCAATGTTTTTTTTCTTCGAGATTTTTTTATGTAGATGCTTATTACAATCTAGTCTTAAATAGGTTTACTTTATTGGATTATATAATAAATTGAATTTAATCATCTATAGTATGCAGTTTAATCACGAATTATTTTCAATAATTTGCTGTTAGAATTTAAAATTAATAATGTTAATTCATTTCTGGAAGTTTAGTTTTTTTTAAGCATATTTTGTGTAAGCATAATTTTTTATGTTAAGTATTTTTTTAAAAAAAAACTTCAGATCAAATCAAATTTTGATTTTATTTAATACGATCTGCACATTTTTTTTTTAAAAAAAAACTTTGGATCAAATCAAATTTTGATCTTATTTAACTCGATCTGCACAGAATTTAAAAATATTAAACAATGCATTTTTTTATTTATTACATGTATTTTATTTATTATAAGCTTAATCTATAGGGAATAAATTAATTTATAATTTGAAAATTATGCAACAATTAACAAAAATGTGATTTCAAATTATAAAATCATATATTATAAAATAAAACTATAGCATTTTCTATTCATGAGACATAATACGTCTATGATTTCCAAAATATATAGTACTGAAACATTACTTAGCCAAATGCTTAACCCATCATATATCAATGTCATTATGCCTTTGAAGTTGCAAGGATTTTCTATGTGAATGGTATGCAATATTATATGAGAGGAAAAAGAAGATGTATTAGGATTTATGGATTTGCATATGAATCAGCATGCAAGACTACAAATTAACACCGAAATATTTGGATCTATAATTTCTGGTCACCATGAAAAAAATGCGAATATATTTGCAAAATGGAAAGCAGCTAATGATGATTCAGTTGACACTTATCTGGGTTAGAACTCCGAAAATGACTCGCATAAATTCGCATTTTTGACTTGAGCCGTTTATGACTAAATAATATAATTATATTATTTAGTCATAAACAACTTAGACTAGGTTATTTAGTAATAAAATAATCTAACTATAACTAAATAATCTAAGTTATACATGCCACCCAAATTATTTTGGGCTGCCGTAATTATAAGTAAAATCCAAAATTCAATTATGACATCCCAAATTATTTTGGCACTTTACATAGTAAATTATATATAAATTAAATGAATTACGACATCCCAAATTATAATTATGGCATCCCAAAATAATTTGGGCAGCATGTATAATCTAAGTATGACTATAAATAATCTAACTATAACTAAATAATCTAAGTATGGCTATAAATAATCTAAATATAACTAAATAATTTAAATATATCTAAATAAACTAAAGTTAATAACCTAAATATGATTAAACACTCTAACTAAATAACGTGTTTGTGACAATTTTGTATACCTAGTTATTTTTCTTACTATATTCCTTCCCTTTAAATTCGCTTTTCTTTAGCTTTTTCCTATTTATTATTTGTGATCATATGATTAAATAACCTAAATATTACTATTACTAAATAATCGAAATGTACCTATTTTTGTTTGGTTATGTACATCAATAATTATTTTCTAATATAATTTATGTTATTGGGGTTTTATGGTTGATTGGTTATTAAATTCTATGTTGGAGGTCCGGCCTGTCTGCAATTATTTGGATTCTAAGTTTTATGATGAAGTTTTTGCCATTCTGCGCCTCTTTGGTTACCTGTTAAGGATTCGAGGGTGCTTTTCTTTTTTACCTATTTTGTTATCTATCAAAATGCCTAAATATAGTAAAAAAAATATCATGTTAGGTGGCGCAGTAGATCGCAGTAGATTCGCATTTAAATTTGGTTGGCACTATACCATAATTTTGGCTGATCTTTTGGGCATGTGATTCGAGGATCCAGCTTGGCACCATAATAGTAACCTGGTAGTATTCTTGGAGCTGTCATGGAACTAGTGAGGAACTGGCAGGGAGCTAAAGTAGTTCTGTTAATTCGCCAGTTCTTTATGCCAGCTTGGATGCTGAGTTATTATGTTCAAAGATCTGGCCGAAATTGTGGAATAATGCTGGCTGGTACTGCGCCTTACTGTGCTAGTCATATGACTTTTGCTGAACTGTGAATCAGAAAATTCGAAATGCAAATGTAAATATATCACATCTTGTCCTATAAAAAATCATCAAAGAAGGTACCAGAAGTACTTTGTTAAGTTTTTTTACCGTCTCTATAAAAATTTTCTATCCCTATAAGAAAAATTCTTGAGGACGCTCTTAGGGATAATCTTGATATCATTTTTGGGCTTCTTAATGCTCCTAGTAAAAGTAAAGTTATAGGAAAAAAATATCGAATCCATCCTATATGTATGCCGTCACCAAGAAAATTTGTTAGTGACGCTCTTAGTGACGCTCTTAGTGACACCCCTGTATACTTTTTTCGAAGTTTGGGGACGCTCAGTTATCTTCCTTTATATCTGTCACTATGTCACTAAGAGTCACTAAGAAAAAGTAAAGTTCTAGGAAAAAAATCAAATTTCTATGGTATCAGTATGGTATATCTATCGGTATACTATATATATGTTATATGTATGCTATATTTTTACTATACCTATAGATAAAAAAAAAATAAAGTAAAGTAGTCTGATTTTCTTAGTGACTCTTAGTGACATGGTGACACCCATCTAAAAACCTTTTGATGGCTCTAAAAATGTGAAATAGCTATAAATTTTGTCATCGAAAGTGTCATCAAGAGTGTCACTAAGAAATTTTGGCGAACTGAGTTCATCCAAAAGGCCATAGGGATAGTGACAACTTTTTATTCTTGTTTAAGTTCTTTCGATTAGCCTAAAATTACTTGAGCAGAATCTCTTTGGGATCATCAGCTTGCTTAGCCAGCTTTTTCTGATGGTAATGTTCTTTCGATCTATGTTTTTTTGCATGCGTATTGCAATAGTCATATTTCGATCTTGTCATCTCTTTACATCCGCTTTCTTTGCAAGCAACTTGCCTAAAATCCTGATGGACTTTACATCCTTTTGGATTATAGCATCTCCGATTACATACTTCGCCAGTCCTAAGAATATATGGACAATAATAAAAATTCCAGGGTGTCACCTTTTTTCCGCCTCCCATTTATGTATATCGATTAATAATCTCAGATAATTAATTTCATTTTAAACTTTTTTCTTGCGAATAATATACCTCGAGTTTTGGTATAACTATAAATTATCATAAATTGCTTGAGAAAAAAATGACCTAATCTGACTTCTTCGAAGACGCCTTCTCCCTCCCCTCCCCGTACAAACAAGGTTTTAAAGCTTCTGATATAGGTGAATGCTTCTATAAAATTCGCGATGATAGTGTTAGACCAAGGGAGTTTCTAGGTGTAGATAACGAGGATGAGATAGAAGCCATTCTCTCAGAACGTGAAGGCCATTCTTTACATGAATTCATTGATGGAGATGAGGCATTCCGGCCTATCATAGATTTTGATTTGTCACAAGAGGTGCTTGATACTATTGAACCTAAGCTAACACGCAAAGAGGTATTAGATTCACTTATTTTTGCTTTTAGAAAAACATGTTTGGAGATATTCCTGAAGTGGAATTATAAAACTTTAACAATCGCCAGCAGTGGTGATGCAAAAAAAATGTCCCTTTATATCTCGACTTTTGGTATGAGACTTCCAAATATTGCTCGGGTTGCAGTTTTTACTGAGCTTGTTCATAAGAAACTTCCGACAGCTCTACAAGGAAATAGTATTATTGATAATATCACAAATAAAAGGTCTTTCTCCTTACGGATGCTTGGATCCCCCAAGTTTGACAAAAAGACTGGAGAACATGTTCGTGTAAAAAAACCAGTTCATCCAAAAGATGGAACTCTCTTTGACTTCATGATTCGCCCGCCTAATGATGAATCAGAAGTCATTAAAAGTTCTCTTTTAGATATTCTGAAAGCAGAAATGGAGGAATGTCCTAGCATAAATAATGTCACTATTGATGTTGAATTCGAACTAGTAGAGACATTACTTCAAGAAGCTAGCATCGAAGGGTATAATCTCTCATATCCATCTGATAATTTTCCTGACAAGTTTCCACTATCGCGCATCTCTCCATCATACTGCCCATTATGTGATCGGGAACATACCAGTGATAATGCATATATCAGACGAAATAAAAAATCTTATAGCTTTTTCTGTTACCGTGCCAATCAAGATAAACAGCCTGGGACAAGAAATCCTCCATTAAAACTTAGTATTAACAAAACAGCTTTAGATAGAGAGAAAAAGCTTCTGAGCCCTACAAAATTAGACCAATCCAGAATTTCTGACCCAAATGACTGTTTCGTATGGGGAGATTTAATTGATATGTGTACCTCTGGGCAAAAATTTTCTCGTAGTGAGGTTTATGAAGCAATTCAGGCAACGGTCGCCTGTATTCAAACAACATCAAGATTATGGGTAAGGTTGCTTGTCTAAACCTCTTCAAAATCCTACGATTAGTTTCGTCAAAATTTTACTATAGATTTATTATAGTTTCGGCAGAGTTTCGGCAGTTTCGGCATTTATAATAAGTTTCGGCAGTTTCGCCTTTTTCCAAAGTTTCGCCAGTTTTTTAATATAACTTTAATATAGTTTCGCCAGAATTTCGCTTTTCGGCGAAACGCCATCTTGCCTAAACCCCTAGGTTTCGGCAAGCAACCTTAATTATGGGTGCTCAAAATAGAGGATACGAATGGTGGTCTTTATTTTGATATGGCACCAAAACTAGATCTTGCCAAGTATGAAGTTAACTTGATTGAGCTAGATAGGGAAGGGGTGAAGTTAATTAATTTAATAGATCAGGCGGTTACCAAAGGTCTAATCCTTTACCACAATATTAATTTTCTACCATATTCGCTGAATAGTCCAGTTCCCAATACAAAGTTCTTTAACCTTTTCATAGGATTTTTGGCTAAGCCAGCGGTAAAAATTAATCCCGAAATCATGGATCCTATTCTCTGGCATACAAAGAATATAATCAGTAATGAAAATAAGAAGCTTCACGAATATCTTTGGAATTGGTGGGCATATTTAGTGCAGAAGCCAGAAAAAAAGCCTCAGTCAATCTTAGTCTTAAAGTCTACATTACAGCAGTGTGGGAAAAATATTATCACTGACTTTATTGGTGACAAAATCCTAGGGAAACATCTCCATTATGCTACATCAGATTTAGAAAAAATTCTTGGGCGATTTAATAGTCCCATCCAAGCTCGAAAGCTTATTGTTATGAATGAGACTGGGATGTCTAGTGCGGAATGGCATAAATTTAACAGACATCTTAAATCCCTTATAACGGAAGGAATGGTGTCTATAGAGTGTAAGGGTATTGAAACAAAGCGAATTAAAGATTTCACTGGATTTATGGTTACAAGCAACCAGGATGCCCTCTAAAAATAGATATAGGTGATTCCCGTATAGATTGTTTTGATGTATCTTTACGATGTAGGGGAAATACAGCATATTTTAAGTGACTAGGAAATGTACTTAACCATCCCGACGCACCAGGAGTAGTCATGAGATATCTTCTTAGTCGTGACCTTTCAGATTTTGAACCACAAGAAATTCCCGCAACTAAAATGAAAGTAGATATAATGCGTGATCAGCTTCCTAGTCCCATTCGATTTATAATCAACTATATTACATCTAGGGCTGAGGATGGAACATCTACGCAAAGTTGTACATCATTATATCAAAAGTATTTTGAATGGTGTGGAGAGAATGGTGAAAAAATATTGACTAGTAAAGTTGCTGGAAAAAAGTTTTCTGAAATTGGTATTGAAAGCAAACAAGTGCGGATAGGTGGTGGGAAAAGAGAATGGCAGTATACTCTTGACTGTTCCAAAATCATAGCTAAGCTCCGTGAATCTGGTCTAGGTGATATCGAAGAGTTCTCTGACACACTTCAAGATGACATATCCACAAACAAGGGATTCCAGAATGAGACCACAGATATACCCATATTCAATGTGCCAGAAACTATTCTACAGAAAATAATCCCGCCTCAGCCAGAGTGCCATAACAGAGTAGCCGATAGAAAGAATAAGCCTTCACCTAATACCAGTAAAGATAAGAAGACCAGTAATCAGGATGATTCGACTCAGGCACTTTTCGACTATATGACAGAAGATACACGTACTCTGATCGTCTCAACATCTGGTACATCCAAGACTTCTAAAAGACCTGAACCAGTAATTGGTAAACTAGAGACTATTGAGCTTCCTGAATCTAACAAGCCCATAAGTAAAAACACGAATATGCCTCCTAAAAAGATCCTAGCTGATTCATACAACCCTAATGAACTATCATCAGCCATACTTCTGGCCAAAGCTCAGCGAGATGAGCATCTCAGAAAAAAGGCAGTCGAACTTAGTGAGGATCCAGATGTCTTCGTAACTATTACCGAAAAAGACAGGCTCAATTCCATTGCATTCTGAGATAGAATGGAAACCGACTCTCGAATGTGTGGTTATGCAGAAGAGGTGGAAGAAGATCCCAAAGAATATATAGACATGACAGTACAGGAAAGATTGATAGAAGAAGAAATAATCTGCCGTTCTCTCGAGGAAGATGGGATCACATCCTCCTGGCTTGATACTAAAAAGGAATGGAAAAAAACGGTAAGCACACTCCAGGAGAATGGTATGCTTTGGTAAAGAGCGAATAAAAAGCTGATTCACAAGAAAGCTGTTTGGGTAAGAGAGTCTTTATAGTCTTTACACATGGGCAATATATAATTCCAAATTATTATTATTTTTTTTTTTCGCATATCCTATCTACCCGCAATTTTCAAATATTTGCAGAGCAAACCCCAGCCATAGTGGGTGGTCTCATAGAGACCCAGCATAAGCTATATCATTATTTTTTTCGCTCCTCCAATCCTCCGATAGTTTTCACCGACCATGAATGTCAAAACAATTATTTATTTTTTTGAATTGAACTTTCTCCACATAGTATATACCAAACAACCTAGGTATAACCAAATATCTTACATATTACCAAATAATAATATGGCTGGCATCGCTACTAGATATGTAACAGAAAACGAGCTCAATATCGAGATGAGTATTGAAGAGCTTAGTAACCACGCTCTGGCATTAGATATCCTTTTAATGGATAAAGTTAAGAGGGATCAGGCACGACGACGTCTCCAAAAGGGATATAACTTTAGCAAAAAACAGGTATTTGCATTAATTCCTAAGCAAACAGCTGGTCAGAAAAAAGGAGGAGCCTTACCCAATGCTCCCAATGCTTCCAAAACTCCCGATAACACCCAAGAAGCAGAACCAGACGCAGTGAATATATGTCAAATTTTACCGAAAGAGACTATTAGAAATTTGGCCTAGCATATCATTCGGGATAATCTTGGTGAAGCAGAAATAAAAGTTATAGCTAATGCCTTAGCTAAATCTGCCTCTAATGCTAGCGCTAGTTCATCACGCCTTACTAGACTTTGAAGAGAGATGAGAGCCCTCGAGGCCTCAGAAAAAATAGTCTCTGATACAAAGATTCTAGACACAACCCGTTCAGCTAATAAAATTAAAAAGGAAAATAGATTGTTACATAAAAATGAAGGAATCGATTATCCAGACCACTTCTCATTAGAATCGGTTAAGGAAAGACTGGATTCATATGATGTGTCCAATATACCTGATAAATAAGCCCTAGCCGATGTAATGATAATGCTTTGTATTCGCCCTGCTGAAATTAAAGACTTACGCATATCTAATGGAAGCGTAACTGGGTATGGAAAAAACTGGGGACAACAAGACATTTCCCGGGTATTCAGATCACTAGAGAAGAATGAGGAACGGGCGAAGCAATTGCTTATATAGATTCAGGAAGCAATTTTTTCTGGACAGTTAAAAGACCCAGGAAAGCCAGGTGTATTATGGTTCAATACATTCCTAAAAAAGGATAAATTCCTTCCTAAAGTAGGCAAACCACTACTTCCTAGTTCTTTGCGCAAAATAGGGACGGTATTTGCAGTTGTAGCTCATGGAGCGAAGAATTTATCGAAAGCTGAGACCATTGCTAGTGAAGCACTTCGCCACAGTCCTGACAACCATGCCTCTCCTGCAAAAAACTATACCATAGTAAATTATCGGTTAAGAGGGGAACCATATAATCAGGCAACGGTATTCGAGCTCTCCGGTGAAAACTAATCACATATAAGGTTAGAAGACCGGAGTATTCAATAATATTCTTGGTGTTTAGCTTCCAATTTATTTCTCTATAATTCATATGCAGGAATCAGCTATACAATATTTCTTCCACCGATCATGAGCAGGCCCTAATTGGGAATTTTATTTTTTCGCTTGAGGCAAGATATATCATATATAAAATATCACGAAAATGGTAACCAATCAAAATCATTCATCTGATGTATCCAGCGAGCAGGAAGTTATCAGATATACAGAGAAATTAGCCCAGTCATTAGGACTGGATGAGCAGAATACAAGAGCATATAAAGCACTCTCTGGACAGATTTGGGCATTAGAAAAAAGACTGGAAGATTATCATATCAAATATGTAACTCTTAAAAGGAAGGTCAATTTATTGGAAGATGAATTGGAAGATGAATTGGAT